TGCTATAATGTGGATAAGACTGTCATGAAACAACTGTACCTGGATTATGTGTTTATGAACACTTGTATGCTATAATGTCAATATGACTGTCATCATGGAAAAACTGTTCCAGGGTTATCTGTTTATAAACACTTGTATGCTATTACATTGATAAGGTTTATGTATATACAAACTTTTTGAACTTTACTAGTGTTCAAAGATTTACCAAACAATATATGAACACTGCAACAAACATTTTTGATCAGACTGGCATGGATTAGGGTGTTTACAATGAATGAGAACAGTGATATTTGTTCTGGTGTGTTCTTCACTGTGCTGCTGCCATAATGGATAAGTGTTGACTTCACTGTGCTGCCATGATGGATGAGTGTTCAAGTGTTTACTTCACTGTGCTGCTGCCATGATGGATGAATAATTCCATACTGTGCGTAGGAACATTGTTGTATCCAAGACTGTTATACATTGTATATACACACCTGTAACCAGGTTATGTTGATTTGAGAACTGTATTACAAGGTGTTTAATAGGATGTTTTTAGTTTCCATGTTCCAGGGTTAAGTGCTTGCAATGAAAACAGTATACAACTTGGATGAGAGCAGTGTGCTAAGTGTTTACAACTTTAATGGGAACAGTGTCATTTATTTACAATTTCAATGAGAACAGAATCATGTGTTTACAACTTGAATGAAAAGTGTGCTACATGTAGGTGTATACAACTTAATGAAAACGGTATGTGAGGTGTTTACAGCTTAAATGAGAACAGTATGCTAGGTGTTTACAGCTTGAATGAGAACGGTATGCTATGTGTTTACAGCTTGAATGAGAACAGTATGCTAAGTGTTTACAAATTGAATGAAAAGTGTGCTAGGTGTTTACAACTTGCAAAAGAACAGTATGCTAGGTGTTCAGAACTTGATTGAGAACAGCGTGCTAGGTTTTAACTTGATTGAGAACAGTGTGCAAGGTGTTCACAGCTTGATTGAGAACATTGTGCTAGGTGTTCATAACTTGATTGAGAACAGTATGCTAGGTGTTCACAGCTTGATTGAGAACAGTATGCTCGGTGTTCACAGCTTGATTGAAAACAATGCGCTAGGTGTTCACAACTTGATTGAGAACAGTGTGCTAGGTGTTCACAACTTGATTGAGAACAGTGTGCTAGGTGTTCACAATTTGATTGAGAACAGTGTGCTAGGTGTTCACAACTTGAATAATACCATATTTATTTCACACATTAGCTATCTTACAATCCTTCCCAGTAGAAGATGATAGAACAATTGTCACATGTCTCAAATTGACCAATCAGACCGCTATATGTCAACACATGTTCAAAAACATGAAATTAGAAATAATTGTGACACGTTTGTTAATTCTGGGATTTCTGAAATATAAATATAATGATAAATTCTGATATAAGTGTTGTATATATACAGAGAGAGAGGCCTTACAAATCAGAAAATATGAAATGATATACACTTTAGTACAGAGCATTTACTCTGGCACAGGAGATTTATTACATCCTATTCACACCATACATCTTAATAAAATAATTATTCTCCTGAGTTTTAGACATGTATACCCTACTCCTTGGC